CAGATGGGGAAAAACCAGCTCAAAACCCGTAAGTAACTTGCCTGTGGTCACATAGATGGCAAAGGTACTCTAAGTCTGTCTGGTTCTATTGCCAACAATACAATACAAAAAAAATATATATGTGAAGTTGCTTAATTCCCCTAGCATTTTGATCATCTTGAAAAGCATTTCATTCCATTAAGAGGCAGATATTTTAAGTCACAGCAAAGAACAAGGAGTCAAAAAGCAACATGAAATGTGGCTTATCTTCCAAGACCTTGCAATCCATTAAAGAAAACAAAACACCGAAGTAAAGGAAGGAACAAAGTGAGGCAAACTGCCGGCTGACGACACAGCCGCGGCGTGACTGCGCTCCGAGAAGTCTGGAGTCCACGCATTCCCAGGGTTAGGGAGGACCTTCCGACACGGGCAAGACTGCAGCCGGACCCTGGGGACAGGAAATGCTGGGAGGTAGAATGGAGGGGATTCCAGCATGACTGCTTCAAACAGTGGAGTCCTGAGAGGAAACAGCCCACGTGAGCAGCCACTGACTAGTGGATGACTAAAACGTGGTTACCCATACAACAGAATACCACTCAGCAATAAAAAGGAATAAATTACTGACACACGCTACAGCATGGATAACCCTGAAAGCAGGCCTGCGGTGCCGACATCCCATATGAGCAAAAGTTCAAGTCCCGGCTGCTCTACTTCCAATCCAGTTCCCTGCTAATTCTCCTGGGAAAGCAGCAGAAGATGGCTCAAGTGCGTGGGTCCCTGCCACTGATGTGGGAGATCTGGAAGAAGCTCCTGGCTCCTGGCTCCAGCATGGACCAGCCCCAACCGTTGTGGCCATTTAGGGAAAGAGTCAGCAGATGGAAGATATCTCTCTGTCTCTTCTCTGTTATCTCTGTCTTTCAAATAAATAAATAAATATTTAATTAAAAAAAATAGGCCGGTGCCACGGCTCACTAGGCTAATCCTCTGCCTGCGGCACCTGCAATCCAGTTCTAGTCCTGGTTGGGGCGCCAGATTCTGTCCCGGTTGCTCCTCTTCCAGTCCAGCTCTCTGCTGTGGCCCGGGAGGGCAGTGGAGGATGCCCAAGTGCTTGGCCCCTGCACCCGCATGGGAGACTGGGAGGAAGCACCTGGCTCCTGGCTTCGGATCGGTGTAGCTCTGGCCGTAGCGGCCATTTGGGGGGTGAACAAACGCAAGGAAGACCTTTCTCTCTGTCTCTCTCTCTCTCACTGTCTAACTCTGCCTGTCAAAAAAAAAAAAAAAAAAAAAAAAAAAAAGAAAAAAGTCAGCCAAGGCTAAGCCAGAAAGCAATTTAGTGGTTCCTGGGAATGGAAGGAGCGGGAAGTGAGGCAGAACTGCTAATGGTAAAGATTCTATAACGTCTGTGAATATGGAGCCTATGTCATGGCTCAGTGAGTTAAACCACCATCCGCAGTGCCAGCATCCCATAGGAGCGCTGGTTCAAGTCTCAGTTACTCCACTCCTGATCCAGCTCCCTGCTAATGTGCCTAGGAAGGCAGCAAATCATGGCCCAAGTATTTGGATTCCTGCCACCCATGTGAGACCCGGATGGTGTTCCAGGCGCCTGGCTTCCACTTGTCCCTGGCCTGGCCATTGCAGTCATTTGGGGAGTGAACCAATGGATGGAAGATATCTCTCCCTCTCTCTCTCTCTGTAATTCCACATTTAAAATAAATAATTTTTTAAATTCTATGACTACACTACAAACCCCTAAAATGTACAATTTAAATGGATAGACTAAATGTAACGTGAATTATATCGCAATCAAGCCACTTAGAAAGTGAAGGACTAATGGGATGTCACATTGTACGGCTAAAGCGTAGTCATTTATGGAGAATTCTGAATGCCAGGCTTAAGAATTTAGAATTCATCTGGTAGCAATCAGATATATCAATGAGATTCACTTACTGCAAGCACAATGTACATACTTAGGACCCTAATAACATTTTTCACATATTTTAAGTACATCCCTAAAATATATGCCAAAAGCACAAAGAGAGAGAACAGGAAAAAAAGATGCTATGGTATGATTTTGACTAAGATACAAGCTGTGACTATTAGGAAACTTGTTTTGCTTCAGTGCTAAATGCCACAGATGGGCATATCAGCATCATATTTATGCAAAACCACAATTTCATCTATGTCAAGTCTTCAAATACCATAATGTTCTAAACGTAATTGTGAAAACAGCATTAACAACTGACCTCTCGGATCTTGGCATGACATAACGAACAGTGCAGTTTGATTTTCACCGTATGGCGGAACTCAGTATATAATTATTTTCTTAGATATTGGATTCAATTAAAATTTCAGCTATCAGAACCTCCACTGATACCAAGCATTTCCTACCAGTGTTTACCCATTTGACTCCGAATTCCAATTTAGCAAAGTAGTCCAGAGTAGTCAACATACAAAATTAGAAAACTAAAGAGCCAAATCTGACACACAAAAGCAGAGAGCAAACATATACGTGGGTGTGGGTGTGTGTGTGTGTGTGTGAATATTGAATACCCAATACAGAGGAAAAGGTAAAACATTCAAAAATAAACCTGAAAATCACCTACAGAGGAAAAAACAAACTAGACTTAGGAGCAGGTTCCACAGCACTGAAAAGAACACATGTGTATATTGCGGGGGTGGGGGTGGTTTACAGCAGAAAGCTCAATACATGAAAGCAGATGAGGGTTTCCCAGAGGCCAAGGCTGGACCCTGTCTAGCAGACAGCCCTGCCTCCCCACCCTGAATCCAGGGAAGAAAGAACCTTTCAGGCAGGCCAGGAGCTGGCCTAAAGGCAAAGCCCCAATGTGCCCCAGGAGGCAGTACGATGGCAGCAACACAAAAGCCAGCTCAGCTGGAGGAGCCACACACAACCAACTAGTGTTCCCTTCCAAGTCACCCTGCAACCTCTCCAAGGCAGGTGAGCCACAAGAAACTCCAGGAGCTATCAGATCTCTTTTAAAACTCTTGTCTAAGAACGGCCCATCTGTCTCCATGAGGGTTTTTTAAGTTCCAGAACTTTCATTCTGTATCTGAGAAACAAAGCCCACTCAGACAACCTGCTTCACTAACACACAATAGGAGGAAAGTAGAAAACAAATAAGCCTTCCTAACAGAGAAGCCTTATCTCTGGTATCTAGAATAAGGTGCTTGCTATCACAAGGAAGTAGAGCAAGACTCTCCATTAGCTAATTCGAAGTCAGTGTGTATGCTGCAGAAAAGAATTCAGTCGGAATAAGGAGGCGCTTCTTCCAAATCAATAACTGCTGTGTGTCAAGAGATTCACCCAAACTTGCTTCAACCGTCTACCTCCTAGAAGTAAAAGAAATGTGGCAAAAGGCAAATGTTGACAACTGTTGTTCACTGTATTAAATGGATGAATGATTAGGCCAGCGCCGCGGCTCACTAGGCTAATCCTCCGCCTTGTGGCGCCTGCATACCGGGTTCTAGTCCCGGTCGGGGTGCCGGATTCTGTCCCGGTTGCCCCTCTTCCAGGCCAGCTCTCTGCTGTGGCCTGGGAGTGCAGTGGACGATGGCCCAAGTGCTTGGGCCCTGCACCCCATGGGAGACCAGGAAAAGCACCTGACTCCTGGCTTCGGATCAGCGCAATGCGCCAGCTGCAGGGCGCCGACCGCGGCAGCCACTGGAGGGTGAACCAACGGCAAAAAGGAAGACCTTTCTCTCTGTCTCTCTCTCTCTCACTATCCACTCTGCCTGTCAAAAAAATAAAAAAATTTTTAAAAATGATGATTAAGGAATAGCAATTAACCAGATCAAACGTAACAGTAAAGCATCAAAATGGGTTGCAAGTTGCATTAGTCTCTAAGTAAGCACCAAAAACCCGTGTTACGGGTACTAAATTAGGAGTCCTTTTAAATAAATAGGTAGAAATGGTAAGAGCAAAAGAGAGGGCGAACAGCACATCAACACAAAGTCGAAGATCCAGAAGTGGTTTCAATGATGGGACTACGGGAGGGAATGCTCTAAACCATAGCAGGCTGATATTCTGACTAGTAAGAGCAGAAACTCACCATGCCCCCAGTGGGCTACAGAATAATTAAGAAAATGAGAGTCCTGGAGAGGGACTTTTTAACATGAGATCGTTCCGAGGTGAACACGGGACTGGAAACGTGATCTACGAACTAGAAAGGGAACTTGCCAGCACCTGAAACTGGCCAAGCAGACCTGAGCTCAGGAAACCAAGATGACAAATATTCCAGGAGACAAATGATCCCGCTATTCAAAATCTGATTCTGAGCCGGGGGCGGGGGGGGGGGGGGGGGGGGCAGGACTGAAGACTAATTTGCCAAAGGCAGTGGGAAAAGGCTCTGTGAGTTGAACAAAAACTTTAAAGTAATTTTACACAAAAGGCCTCCGGCAATTTTCTGTGTCAAGTACTTTCAGTGATCTGTTCACTGACACCTACTGTAGGAACTTCTAAGAAGCTAAACCTAAACACTATATTTTAACTAATTCAGGAAAATCTTGTAAATATTTGCAATAACCACTTTCTGTGCGCAATTCTGTAGCGCCTGTGAGACAGTCTGAAACTTAAATGACAGTCGGCTCAATGACACAAAAATCACTCTCCGGCAAAATTACAGTCAGGCAGAAAAAGTCATTCAAGAAGGACCCCCTGAACCCCAGACTCAACCATCATCACTGGGGAGGCCTTTTTCTACATAGCAAGAAGTAGACCGTGTTCACACTCCACAAGGAACCTAAAAATTAACCCCTGGATACTCTCAAACCTCACTTAAACTTACTAAATCTTACATGAGAAAAACCAAAACTGGAAAAGGGAAAAAAAGAAAGGAAAAAAAGGATGAGGTTGAACTCAAGCCATCACATCGATCCACACTAAACCTAACTTGGAACGGAACTGAGTGCTACACACGCAGAGGCGCTCTGTTTAAGTGGGTAGGCAAACACCCCCGTGCCGCCACGGGCAGGGCACGGGGATTCGCGGGACGAACAGGAAGTACCTGAGCAGATAGACAGCCCTTTCGATGTCACTGAGGTCTTCGTCAACTGTCAGTTTTTCTATTTCTTCTGGTGTCTGTCAAGTGCAAAGCACAAATTATGCACGCAAACATCGGGTCGGGCTAGGAGCACGGAGGAATGAGAAAGTCCCACAACCAGGCGCCAGCCGTGCCAAGGGGCCAGGGGCCTGAGGATCCGGGCAGCTCGGGCTGGGTGGGTGGGTGGTCGGGTCTGTCCTCGCCTGGCGCCCTTCTGGCTCCGGGACTGCAGCGTGGGACTCACGCCGCGGCTTCGGAACCTGCTGAAAGTGTCACACGCCCGGGGCCACACGCGCACACGCGCACACGCACACTTTTTCTAATCTCCAACATTTCCCACCGCAGGGAACGCTCCAGGGGGAAGGATGAACCGCGAGCGAGGTGGGGGGAAGGACGCGGTCCGGAGCGGGGGAAGGGAAGGGAAGCGAGTCGGGGAGCCCGGGCATTGCGGCAGGGGGAGCGGGGCGGGCTGCGGGCGCCCTGGAGAGGTCGGCGGGGGTCGGGGCAGTGCCGAGGCCGGAGAGATGACTCCGCGGGGCGCCAGCTGAGGGCTGACCCCCGCCCAGGGGTGGCCAGCAGGTCTCAGCCAGCGTCCCGGGGCGGGGGTGGGGGCTGGGAGCAAAGGACGCGCGGTGACTCAGGCCGGGGCGAAGGGCCGAGGGGGCTGTGGAGACGGGGACCACCGGGCTGATGCGAGGCCGAGGGACGCCGAGCGGCGCCGGGGGCGGGGGCCCGGCGCGATCGCCTTGCGGGGAGAGGGGCGAGGGGATGGGACCTGGGGCGTTTCGGGGACACTCGGGGCCAGCCGGGGGGCCGGGGTTCCGCGGGCTGCGGCTGAGGGAACCGTCACTGAGGGGCCACGGCTGCCCGAAGCCGGGGGCC